GAAACTCTGGGGCGATTAAGGTGCCCGACTTGACATCATGATCGTCAGCACAAGGGGGGCAAAAGAGGTTTTGTTAATGTTAAGATACTTAAAAAGTTGCACGTCAACGTTGTTGTTGTTGTTGTTGTTGTTGTTGTTCCAGCATTCAGACTTTCTTAACTGAAAGCACGTGAACACAGTCCAGTTGGCAACCCATCATCAGCACTAGTTTTGTCACCGTCTGCCAGTGACAATTGACAGCGCTGCACGATGACGACGCACGGAGGAGAAACCGGCGCACAGCGTGACGTTACAAGAACAAAACTCTGTTTTACCCGTCGACACAGAAACACCTTAAACTGAGTTTCTGAACATCTTCACCCTGCAAGGAGTTTTACTAAAAGGTGTACGAAAGACCCAAACACAGAAAAAGCTACCTTTTAAAAAATACCCGCCTACGTGTGGACGAGCCCTGCGTGTAGGAATGTGAGGGCAGGCGTTACGAAACGATACACTTTATTGGCTGCTTGAGGAAATTTGTCTTGGATTCAAAGTGCTGCAAACATTCAGCCGCCTCCACAGTAGAATCAATAAATAAGAACAACAGAAACAAATATTATCACACAGAGAGGCATCGGTTTGAGTGTTAGCTCTCAGAGATTTCTATCAGCCCTGAGTGCTACACTCACACAAGCACGCACACACACGCACACACACGCACACACACACACACACACACACACACACACACACACACACACACAGACACACACACACACACACACAGACACACACAGACACACACACACACACACATTACGATGTCGATGTGTCAGAAAATAGAGAATCTGCAGAAAGACGTGATCGAATAGGGACAGAAAGGAGTTCCCCCTGGCACCGAGTCGGGAAACAAGAGTTTGTTTGGATTTCTGGCACTGGCAGAAGGTGCTGAAGTGTGTGTGTGTGTGTGTGTGTGTGTGTGTGTGTGTGTGTGTGTGTGTGTGTGTGTGTGTGTGTGTGTGTGTGTGTGTCATATCGAGGTTGTATTCTGCACTGATGTTGCAGAAGCAGCCATTGAAACTGTTCACACACACACAGATAATTTTTGTTCATGCATGAGCACCTTAGCATTTCTACACTCATGCACGTGTGTGTGTGTATGTGTTTTGGAGTGTGTACATGTGTGTTTGTGTGTGTGTGCTTCCATGTGTGTTTATATTCCTTAATGACTTTCTAATTCAGGGCCAGCAGGAACCTGCCTTTATCTCTATTAGTTTAGTATCCGAGCAAACAAAGAGAGTCTGTGTGTGTGGCAGCGAGCCAGAGGAAGACTCAGCCGGAAAAGCACTTGTCCATCTGCGTCTCCTCCTCCTCCTCCTCCTCCTCCTCCTCCTCTCTGGGTGTGAAACGCTCCCTCCTCTCTGTCGCTAAAATAAAAAAAAACATCTTGATTCGAGGCTCAATGCGTGTGTGTGAGTCACTAAATTTGTTAAAAGTCTGGCACTTCAGATCTATGTAGGTAAAAAAAAAGACCTGCAGGTTTGATTTTTTTTTCATATTTAAATGTAAGACGCTAAAATATTTTTAAAATGATGTCGAATATTTTGAGAAGAACAGGAAAAAATCTGGAAACTCTGCATGAATCCAACACTTTAGTTTACTGACTCATAGAGACTTTTTGATTTTAACAATGAAAAAAATCACCACCGAGTAAAAAGGTAGAAGTCCGCAGAGCAGAGAGACTGAAATGAGTTCAGCGGAGGAGGAGAGGAAGATGAACGTGATTTTGAAGACTTTGGTCTTTATTGTCCCCATGGGGAAAGTCCTTTTCACAGCCATGTGTCTGTCCAACAGACAACAACAACCTCAGATCAGACACACACACAAACACATGATTGATTAAAGGCTTTTGCAGAGAAGGAAAAAAACATCTGGAATCTCTAATAGAGATATCCCTCCCCATGAATAAAGGTCAATCAGAGGAACAAATCATAAAAAGGTTTCCCCTGTTGAACTTTTGTTCACTAACCTCACAATGATTCACTGAAGAACATTTAAAAAAACACTGAGATAAGTATGATATGTGACACATTACCAATAAAAAACTCTCTATATATTTATTTATTTAAAACTCTTTTTGAATAGGCTAATAAATAGTTGACTGTCCTAGTTACAAACAAAGTTAAAGGCAGTCTGAACTGAAAGTCTGAGGCAAAAATCTTTATTAATGAGAATGTGTCGACGAGTTTCAACTCAACCGAGTCTTCAGCAGGACAACTTTTTTTATTTTTGTTGCACTCTTTTTTGGTTCATTTGTAAACATTTAAAACACTTTACTTCATTTTACTCAATTAATGTAATCAACACACATATATCCATAAATGCTTAAACATTTATTCATACACACATCAACAAACTTACATAAATGTATACACACACACTCATATGACCGCCCTTCACAATTAAAAAAAAAGAAAATCCTGTTCTCTTGATTGACTCAACAACTTCGACAAACATGTTCGTAGTTTGTGTGTGTGTGTTCATCTCGTCAGCTTCATCACGCTGTAACTCATGATATAACCACTGTGAGGGTTTATTAAAATAGACGTGTTTCCTTCCCAGAGGGGCGTGTCTAGAGGGGCGGTCTTCAGACCTCTCACATGTCATTCAAGCACAGAGAGCTTGAGTGCATTAAAAGAAATCCATTTAAAAAAAATTCTTTGTGAACTCAAGCTCTTCTGCACGCTGCTGTCACTTAAAGACGTTCAGAGACGTTCAATGAAAAATAAATCAGTAATCTGTGGCACACTGACAATGACTTTACTGTAACTTTATTGTGAGTGAACAAAACATTTCGCCTGTAGCGTCCTCAGGTGTGCCATCACCAGTGACAACGGGCCACTGATGTAACTGAAAGAGCGGAGTATTTGCAGATTGTTTCAATCCAGCACAAAAAATGATCCAACAGGGAAATTTGCGTGATTTAAACACGGCTTAAACTTGCCTAATGTCTGGTCTGAACACAGCTTTTTAGGGTCGCTCTCTAACTGAGCTGACTGTGTGTGACACTTTGTTTTACAGGTTCTTCTTTTACAGTGTTTGTGTTAAAGAAAACACGTCGCATAATCAAAAAAATCAACTGTGGGAACTAAAGCAAAAGCCACTCCTGAGGGGGTTTGATGTGCAGAGAGAAAAAGTTTGACGTGCTTCAGTCCCACGCTGTACCTGTGGGTGTGTTTGTGATTGTGTTGTGCGGAGTATATGAGCAGCAGCATTTGTGTGTGTGTGTGTGTGTGTGTGTCTGTGTTTGTGTGTGTCTGTGTCTTTTGACCCCTTTGGCTCGGCTGTAAGGCGTTGTTGGCATCCCTGTTTCTCTTCCTCCAGAAGGCAGTGGCTGTGACCCCTCCACCTCCAACACATAAACACACACAATGACACACACAATGACACACACACACACACACACAAACACACACAAAATAACACACACATACATACACACAAACCAAAAGACAAACCTCTCCCACCAGCAGAAGGTTGTGTTGCTGTTCTCCACATGCCCACCTCTCACCCATCCAGCCCCAACCCCCCCCACATCCTCCCCCTCCTCCTCCTCACCTACCCCCGGTGTTGGCAGAGGCATCCGTGTGTGTGTGTGTGTGTGTGTGTGTGTGTGTGTGTGTCAGGCGGGCTGCTGCGTGGTGAGCGTGCCCTCTGTCATTCACGCAGAGCAGCCCTGTCCAACTGTCACTTCCTGACAGGCCGATAATCAATCTCTTTATTAACTGCTCTGCTGCAGACCGCCGCCACCGAGGGAGGAGGGAGGAAAGAGAGAGGAGGGAGGAGGAGGTGAAAACAGAGGAAGGAGGGAGGGAGTAGAAGGAGAATGCTGCTGCAGCTAAGAAAGTTTGGAAAAAATGTTCATTTTAAGACAGCTGGAGAAACATCTGTAATGGAAGGAAATATGAAAATAATGTGGTGATGCATGAGGTTAAAGGCATTACTCACAGTTATATCAGAGGATATACTTGATTTATATTACATTTAAGCATATAAAGCCTTTAAGATCGTTTTAATACGTGTTAGTGAACAGAACAAAGACTTTTAATAAACAGGTTAATAATGTTGGTAAGATGTTTCTTATCTTAAGAGTTGAACAAACCAATAAAATAATTAAAAACACAATATTTACAAAAAGACCTGTCGCCCCTTTGCACCAGTTCTTCCAACGTTCTGTCTTCAGAGTGGGTTTAATTAGTTCCTAACTTTAGTTAAAGTGATTTAATGGAACTGACAGATGAAGTGAACGGTCTTGTTGAGGTCGTCACTGTGACCTGTTATCGATGTTAATGTTATTTATAGAGGGATATGTGTCAGGGTGTTTCTTTGATTGACAGGTGTGTCAGTGATGGTGACGCCTGTTCCTCACACCTCACCTCCCCTCATGCTGCCTCCTCTTTACGTTTTAATAAACAATAACCCGATATGGTCAGATTTACAGCTTTCTACATCATCGTTGTTTCCTGTTTTCTTAAAAGGTTGAAGCAGAGGGTGATGGTAGAAGATTAAGAAGCACTTCTGTCCCGACCTGCTGCTGCTGCTGTTTGGGTTTTTTGGGAGATGCTGGTCTTTCCTGACAGCATCACACCGTTACCGCGGCGATAATTTATGAGGCGGGAAAGTAAATTAGTGATTCTGGCGACCAGCAGCAAGCCAGGAGTCAGCACGCCACCCGTCTTCTGCTCTCTGATTTTATGCCACACTTATTTCTCCTCTCACTCCTTTTCCTCTTTTCATCATTCAACCATGAGGCCTGAAACTTTATGCATGCACGAGCACACATGACAACACCTGGGCCCAGCTGGTCGACGTGTGACCCCACCTGTACGGGTATATTCTTTCAAAAAGAACACCTTAGAGTTGGAAGTTTTCTGCCACTGCCATTAAGGAATTCCTGTTGTTAATAAATATCTGTTAGTGTGTGTTTCATTAAGCAGCTGTGTTTGTGTTTTAAAATACAGGACGGGTTTCTGACAGACACTCAGAAGAGGCTTCAGTCAGAGATCGTCCAGCGCTGTATCGCCAACGCCGACCGCTCCAATATCAACATGGAGACCTCTGAGAGTTTACCTGCTGAGGCCGAGGGGACAATACGACTACAGACTGAGACTACACACAGATAAACACACACACACACACACACACAAGACTCAGAGCTCGTACAAAACCTCTCCAGGACTCAGTCACACTCTCTCTCTCTCTCTGTGTACAAACAAATCTATATATTTAACAATTCTATCTCAATTCTTGATATCAAACATACAAAAGGGCGGGTTCAGACTTTTAGGTTTCATGTTGAATTGAATCTGTTTTTACTTTCTGCATCCCCACCTGGCACGGGTCACTCAGCGTTAAGAATCCCAGCAAAATGAGTGGTAAAGATTGCAGGTTGGTCCCTCTGTGACGGAACATATCAGAGTCATCTTCTGTCAGTTGCTGCTCTTCGGCTGCAGATTCAGCCTGGCAGCCTGCAGGACACAGAGACTGAGGAACTCATTGGTCCCTGCTGCCATCGCCTTTTTCCACGATTTAATCCTGTCTCTTTTGTTCATTTGTTGTTTTTATCTGTTGTATTTATTTATTGTCCACTGGACTTTCCACTTCTTAGTGTCCGTCTTGTGTTGTACGCTGATTGCTGGCTGCATGTTTGTATTTTACTCTCATAGGGACAATAAAGACAACCTTGAACCTTGACGGTTTCTCTGAGTGCATGTAAACAACACATCCCGTATGTGATCAACAACAGGATAAGGCTCATAACCGAGATACTCAAGTCCACATAGACACTAAGTTAGTGTACCTGCAGAGTGTGTGCACTGAGCTGTTTGAAGACGCAGCTTCAAGCTAAAGTTGTGAGCGGCTAAAGTCGATCTGTGAGCCGTGATCTGCTCCGCTGGATGTGACAAAATCAGTTTCATCACCTCCCTCCCACCTGTACATCACCTGTGATAGATCCAGTGATTGACAGATGAGATTAGACGAGTGGATTCAACAGGGGAGATCTCTACTTTCCTCTGTGGTACACCCTGCAACATAACACGCACGCACGCACGCACGCACGCACGCACGCACGCACGCACGCACGCACGCACGCACGCACGCACGCACGCACGCAGTTAGTACTGCCCCAGGGCCAGAGTGCGATGTTAGTGATTCGCCCTCAAACCTCACCTGATGTTTCAACTCTTCGTCTTCCTCCTCCATCATCACCCGTGTGGGCATGGCGGCCTCCCAACCTCCCTCTCCTCTAGCCAGAGTGGCCCCAGGACTCATTTTCAAGCCCAAATCCCCCTTCATAACTCCCCCCCCCCCCACCCCCCCCTCCCCCCTTTTCCGCCCGGTAGCAGGCCAGTCTGAACCAGGTCCAGTCCTGATGGCAGAGGAAGAGGAGGCAGATGCTGGGGCAGTGGGAGCAGGGCAACGGCGGCCATGACGGGAGATGAAAGGGACTACTTTATCTTCGTTAGGGAGGAGTGAGGGCAAGGCATGAAGAACACACACACACACCAACACATAAAACACAAAACTAAGGAAAAACTTAGTAACAAAGAAACAGAAAGCTGCTACAAATGTTTTTCCAGACACACGTTTGCGACCCACTGAAAAAGGCCCTGCGGCCCACTTTAGAGTCCCGACCCTCCAGTTGAGAACCACTGGTTTAATGTACCCTTCAGAGTCAGCTTTAAACCTTCTGTAGCTGCTGTTTCAAGGTACCCTTAGGCCCTAAGGCGACGAATTTCCGAAAAACGAAAATCTTTAGTTGCGTTCTGGTTTTTTGTTTATATGACAACAGCATTTTGGTGGCCTGAAATGCAAATTTTGGAAAGCCAGTTCCAGAGTGCAAACTCTTGAAAATGACACTGTCTCCGTCTTCATTTCAACAGGCAAGATGCACTTCCTCTGAAACTGAGACATTTTGCACATGGGCATTATGGTTCCAGTCAACAGCCATAAGCGAGCAGGTGAACAACAACAACAATGGTGAACTTACCAACGCTTCTCCAGTAAAAGGTACATTTCATGCATCATCACTTGGATCAGCGGAGACGCATTACTTCTATACCCCCAAATACTGGCGACAGGCGATCAGCCTCCTTTTACACCTCAACACTCTAGGATGGGTACGTGTGCATGAGTGTGTAAAGTCCCACCGCCAACTACGCTGTCCCAGCATGTGTACCACAGTGTTTGAAGTTGTTTTTGGGGATCCGTGTGCACGCCGATTTTCAAAATGTTAACTTGGAACTTTTTGAAAACACAAACCAAAATTGGTTCTGTTTTCAGTGGATTGTTTTAGTGTCTGTTCAAGCTATTCTCAGTGCCTGTGTCAGCTCATATGCTTCTTTCATATTAGCCTCCTTATGTTTTAAGTAGGGCTGGGCAACGATTAAAAGCTTTAATCGCGTTAATCGCATGAGTTCCTGTGATTAATCGCGATTAATTGCATTGTTATACGCAAAATCCAATAATGCATTCAAAAGTAGTGTATAGCACACTTTTATTGTGAATGTACTTCTGAACTTAAACAATGTAATCAAAGCAAATAAATAGAAAACTAAAGCTTATTGCATTGGTTGCAGTCTGGACGCAGAGTGGTGTGGGTCTCCTCTCTGACTGCAGCTAGGTCTGCTGTGCGAGCCTACACTGACAGCCTGTGATGCTTTCGGAAGGGGGAGGGGCTCACGGCAGTACCCACTGCTCGTTGAGGACAGTAACTGTAGAGCAATACGTGCTTTCACGTCAGTTTCTTACACCAAAAAAGTCTCCAATAACACCAGAAAAAAGTCGCTAGATTTGTCGCTAGTAGCTGTTGACAAAAAAAAGTCGCCAAGGGGGTTTGGAAAGTCGCCAGATTTAGCGAGAAAGTCGCCAAGTTGGCAACACTGTTTCCTCTTTCCTGTGAGCGCCGCAGCAGTCGCAGCAGTAAGCAACATACTAGGCTCGCTCACGATGGAATTTTACAAAATAAAAGCCAGTGAGCAACAGACTTTTACAATAAGAAAAAAAAAAAAAAAACTGCGTTAATGTGAGATAAAATAATTGTCGGCGATAATTAATTAATGAGTTAACGCGAAAATAACGCGTTAACGTGCCCAACCCTAGTTTTAAGCAACCCCATAGTGACAGTTTTAAGGAACCCTTTAGCTTGTGTTTTTCTTGATTTTCGAACACATCGCTCACTGGTCTCTTTGGTTCGTATTCAGGCACAACAACTCCGAAGTTAACTTTAGAAAACACGTCATGGTGAAGGCTAACAGAATAACTCAACTGAGTGGAAATTGAGCCAAAAACGATGTAACAATAACTTTGCATGAATTACAGCCTCTTCTGTACAGGTATGCACACAGTTTGTTGTCCCCTCCTTCGTCTCTCGGGGGCGATGAAGAGGTGATGCGTTCCTAGGCTCAGGTGGAAGCGACAGGTCGGCGTGATGTAATCACTCATCGCTCGCTGACATCACGGCTGAGCAATTAGGCAGGACAGTCGTGTTCTTTACTAATGAACAATGGTTCAACGAAGCCTCCTTCAAAGCTCTCATCCATCACACACACACACACACACACACACACACACACACACACACACACACACACACACACACACACACACACACACACACACACACACACACACACACACACACACACACACACACACACACACACACACACAGTCCTGCTGCTGTTGGAGGTGTTTCTTGGTTTGATGAGTTTCTGGCCGACTCTCTCTGCCTCCCCGCTGAACGTGTGGCTGCTCCTCCTCCTCCTCCTCTTCATCTTTCCCCCTTGTCAACACAATCCCTCCATCCATCCGTCCCGAGGCGGGGGCCCGGCGGGGGCCGTCCGCCACTCGCAGCGTCCTCTGGGTGCTCTCTGCGTCTCCTCTGGTTCCCCTCCCACTGCACACACACTCATACACGTTTGTCTTTGGACACCTGTGAGGTCCTCTGATTTATTACTGCAGCTCGCTGTGTGAGTTATCAGCTTTACCTTTAGAAGTCTCACGTTTCAGACTATGAACTACAGAAGTATTCAGTCTCAACACATCTGTTTGTTTGTCTAAGTGACGACACTGCCTATAACATTCATTCATTGAGCTTTACAAAGGTACCAGACTCCACTGAAAAAAACACTAATTTTAACTTGCAGACTGGTGGTGTAGCCTGTCCACTTCTGTCAGAGGTTTTGTTTTCTCGAGTGTTGTAATAATTTGTAGAATCTCAACTAAGCATTAAAAACCACTAAAGTTAAACAATAACACAAAGAAAATATCTGCCGCACCTGTCAGCAACTACCACAACATGTGAGGTAAAAATACAGTTTTTGTTCATGGAATCTGGTGGCTTTGAAGAGAGTGACGTAACAACTGTTTCAAATCTTCCTCTTTAACGAAAACGTCGCTCTCTCTACAGGGATCCTTTCTGAAATGTTGTCAGACTCAAACAATTTGAGCCTGTCTGTGATAAAAAGAGAACGTTTAGAGGACGCACTTTGATCCATCAAGGATTATGACGCAGCCATTACAGCCTGTTTCACTGCTGCAGGCTGAAGGAATCTACTGGAGACATTCAAAACTTTTTTTAAACTACAAGTCATTTAGACTCCATCAACATGTGAAAATAAGGCTAAGGTTCAACCTTCGACTCACTACATGGGATCAGACAAGTTATTTTTATGCCAGATGCCACACAAGCTAAGAACCTGCCTGAGAATTATCAAGTTTTCTTCAGTAGAATGAATCCACTGATAATTGTCTTAATCTACAGGTGCACTTGAAAAAGAGCTGCTCCAAAAAATGAAGCACACCTTAAGAAATATTTCAACATGATGTAAGCAAGTTCATTTTGAAAAATCAGTAGGTACAGTTACAGCAAAATCTTTAGGTAAAAGTCAGGCTAAAATATTCAGCCATTTGCACTCAAACAGGCTGCTCGTCCCAAAATATCCAGGAAATTTCCAGGAGTTTGGTGCATTTGTGGGTTCAGTTTAACATACAAAAGTCAAAATGCTTTCCGTACCATTTATGGAGCAAATAGCTGACAAATGATTTCAATACGAAATAGAAAAACATGACGGTCCAAAACATTATCAGAACCGTGCTCATCCTCTGTCCAACCATATATAAGCAATAGGGATGAATCCATTTAACTTCGGTATCGGCCGATATCAGACATCGTCCCATCGACGAGTAATGTGGCATGAAACGATGTCAGCATCTATGTTTAAAGATGTCATTTAAAACAAATCGGTATAGGCAATCAGCTTAATGTTTATTTGTCGGTATCAGCCCTTTTCTGTCCCACTCAACCCAGAGATGCTGGTTTTAAGGGTGTTGCAGACACAGAGACCCTCAGTGTGTTAATCTGAGCACAGCCTGCTGCATGTGTGTGGATGAGTCTGTGTTCAGGTGAGGCTGTCAAACAGCCATACCTTCACTCTGTCCTAATAACCGTCCCTTTCTCCTCTTAAAGAAAAGCTGCTCCTCACCTTGACACCCGCCTCGGCGGCGTTTTGATAAATTTACATTAAAAGAGGTTTGGCGTCTGGCGCCAGAAACTGCCTTTAATCAATGAGAGCGTTTGTGTGTGTACCTCCGGAGAGCGAGGCGAGTCGAAGATAAATATTGGCAGAAAAGAAAAATGTGTCGTCCCTCTCGATCGAGGGGGGAATGTAATGATATTCAAAAGGAGACCCCCCGCCGAGATGCAAGGCAAACTGTTCCTAAGCAACAAAACACATTCTCCCTCTCTCTCAGAGCGCACGGACAGGCTGTGTGTGTGTGTGTGTGTGTGTGTGTGTGTGTGTGTGTGTGTGTGTGTATCCTCTGACGACTCATTGCAGCAGTTTGATGTGTCTGTCTCCCAAAAATGTGTTTGTCTATTAGTTTGTAGTTTAAAGTCTGTGTAAGTGTGTTTGACTCAGTCTGTGTGTGAGCATGCATGTAGTGTGTGTGAGTGTGTGTGTGTGTGTGTGTGTGTGTGTGTGTGTGTGTGTGTGTGTGTGTGTGTGTGTGTGTGTGTGTGTGTGATCCCTCTGTGGATTAGGGGAGTTAGGGAACAGTGACCAGCATCAGTGAGTGTGGATTCAGTCCAGATGCCTCCTCGCTCTCTCTCACACACTCGGCTTTAAGCGGCTCAGGGTTTCTATTAAATACGATGCAGGAACATATATCACATAAAGCACAGGTTAAAGGTTCTCGCTGCATGTGATCTGTTGCAGAATACTCTCTGCATTGAATCGTGGAAGAACAGTCATAAATAATGGCACAAAAAGAACCTATTCTACACGACAGTTCCTCTGTTACTCATTTCAGGAGAAAAGCTGCTGAAAATAAACGCCAGAGTTAAAAAATAAGCATTCAATCAAAGACTGCACATATATTCCCGACACTATAAAACATTTTTAAAGGGCAATGCTGCCTTCAGGTGCTCCTCTGACAACATCCTTCTTCCCAGTCGTGGAGTCCTAATGACAACATTCTCGCATTCAAGTGCTCTGTTCAGAAAAAAGCAACAGTCATGGACGCTAGAAGGTTGTTATGTCATGGCTGATGTTTAATTACCAAAGACAAGCAGCACTGGACATCGCTTCTCACAGATTTGATGCTCACAGTGTGTTGATTCTCAGACTTGAAAAAAATTCCTCCAGGTTCATAAAAAACATTGAACTACAGTTTCCACAGTGTAGCGCCCCTTTGTGGCCTGTATGTGTAAAACTGGGTGGGTGTCATTAAGTGGGTTCATTTTGTCAGGCCGTGCACATTAAGTGATGATTAAAGCCATTAAAGTGGTTTATTAACTAATAAGAAGTGTTTGTCTGCTGATATGTGCCGCTGCTCTGTCCCTCTTTCTCTATGTGAGTTTAAAAAAAAAAACCTTTGATGACAGCTCAGGGTCGACTCCACGAGCAGTTCCCCATCATGATTAAAAAGAAAAAAAGAGCAGAACCTTCAGAGGCTCAAACATTCACCTTTGATTGAATTTTAATGAATTTAAATCTGGATAAAATTCAGGGATTCTGTTGTAAATCCTAAACAATCAGAATAATTCCTTCAGGGTTAATGTTTTAAAAAACAGAAACCTCCTGAGATCGAGGCTCGTTCCTTGGCTTCTGTTACATGATCTCAGACTGCCACCTAGTGGTGAAACACTGACAGTCAGACTGTTTCTGGAAATGTCAGCAAACCACATTGATGCAGACATCAGAACCAGGGAGCAGTTCTCTCAAGTCAAGGGGTCAAAGGTCATTTTACAGTAATCCTTCCTCAAAGTGTTGGCTGCTAAAATAGAAAATTATTATTATTATTTTTTTTTTTAAAGAGCAGAGTGATTAAGGTTAACTCAGGACTCGTGTACGTCCTGAATACAGAAGAGTTGGTTTGAATTGATTCGGAGTGATGTTTTGTTGTTAAATTTCAGTTCTGTGTACATTACATTCAGACACATTTACATTTACAGCCGTGCATGTTTTCTTATGGAGATGTTTTGCATTTAAAACTAACAAGTGTGTCCAGGTTTTTTAGACACATGTATTTTTGTTTTTTCTGTTATCAGTCTGCAGAAACTTAAAATCTCAACATTCATCTAAATATCATTTCAAATCAAAGCTGCAGTTTGACTCTCTAATAGATCATTTTATCGTCATGCAGTTGGACCGTAAAAGTCAATTCCCCAGAGCAGTGGCAACAAAATTAAACAATGTCAATCTCAAGACCCATCTCAAGACCGTCTTTTGAACGTCTCTGTCTCATCTCAGAATTGAAAGCATTTTTCACTCTGCCTTGTCTCGGCCTCAGACTGGGCACACTCCAGATTTTAAATCAAGGCTGGTCAAGACCACCACTGACAGACTATTTCTCCACATCATAACTGTGATTAGAAGGAAAACTCCTCTTTCTAAAAGAACAAATAACTTCAATTCATTTGTAGTTTGATTTTTTTTATCCCCCGTTACAGCTGCAACCTTCCTGGTGTTACTGTCTAAGTGAGTGACACGCCCCGTAAACACATGATGATGATTTTTCATTGATATATATAGTCTTGGTCTTGTCTTGGTCTCGAGCCCTAAGTGGTTCGGACCTTGACTGTAAACCATTTTAGTTCCTAGAACCTTAATTAGAAGCACCTTATTAGCTCCTGCTTCACAGTAGATACTCATCCAGCACCATGGTGGTGTGAATGCAGACAGAAATCCCCATGGTGTGTAGTTCTCTGGGAACTCCCTAGTGGATAGTTCCTCTTCAAAAAGTCCCCAGAACGGTGTGGTCCAAAAACTCCTTTTGATTGGACCGCTGACAATTGATAGACATCAGCACCTGACGCAGAAATATCTAAAGATTAATTTATTTATATTCATAAATAATATTTAGAATTTTGTGCATAATGATTGGACCTGTTCCCAGAAGGACTGAGTGACTTATCATCACTGATGCACAGAAGTGCTGCTATCACACCAACTACTTTATAATTCATTAATAGGAGTGAAGAGTCTGCCCCCTGCTGATCATTCAGAGCATTACAGGACTTTAAACAGGACAGAACCACAGGTCCACACACGCTGATGATCCACAGCATCAAAATGTCTTCAGTAAATCTGTCAGTTAATGTGAGTTATTTAAAGTTATTATTAAGGTTTGTATGATTACAGATCTGACTACAACCACAGGATTAAATGCAGCTCCCCATTCGGACCGAGCTGAGGCTGAGCAGCGAGGTGAACACAGACTTTGAGGCATGCAGGTTCTGAAGAGAAGCAGCATGTATGTTAGAGGTTTGATGTGTTTGTATTCTGCTCTCTTCTTTTGCACTCAGATGTTATAATAAATATCAGGACTGTTCATCATGACAGAAACTCCACTATTCCAGCTCTACCTGAGACAGTGATAATATGATATTAGTATATTTTCTTTCTCCGCTGCTCTCCGCTCCGTGCTCGTACCTGGACTCACAGATGGTTCACTGAAATTGTCTTTCAGCTCTCGTCACAATGTTTCCCAAATAAACCAAACTAATTTCCCCGTGTGGTGATTAAGTGCGTTCGTTGAAATAATTTGTTGTTCCGTCAAAACAATTATGTTCACTTTGGAGTCACGAGCGTCGACATGAGAGAGGGACACAAACGAGCTGCTGTTTGAAACGTTCATACTTCCTGATATCTGCAGCCAAATCACAGCCATTATGACCCGAGAGTGTCTACTTTCAGTTTACAGAGTTCATTACACAAATTAACTTGGTAATGAGCTGCTGGCTTCATGCACACTTTCATCCGCTGTTTTAGAGGGTTTTTAAGTAACGGCCGGCACAGCAGAGCCCGAACAGAGCGGGGAGAAATACGACGGGGGACGGAGACAAATCAGACCTAATCAACATCGCAGCGGGAGCAGAGGGACACTGAAGTATGTGACAACAAGTTTAAAGGCTCCAGGAGGGTTTATTTAACAGAAACACTACATGTGTAACCGTCTCTAATTAACTAGAGAATGGTTTGGTTTCTCCACACAGACTGACCTCTTCCATCAGTAGTTGGACGGGTTGTTTTTCAGTAGAAACTCCGCCTGGGTCGAGACAAAACAAAAGAGACGATCAGACTCAAACTCAGGTGTAGTCAGAGGTTTAAGAGTCAGGGGGTCACAGGGGCTGGGTGTTGTACCAGGAAGTCAACGGGGTCGTGTGGTCGGGCGGTGCAGCATTCCATCAGACCGCGGCTCAGTATGGGCATCACCTGCTCCATCAGGTAGCTCCTCATCGAGGCCGACTGAACCTCCAGAAGCTCCTCCTCCTGCTGCCTCACCTCCTCCAGATGTTTAGTCTGAAACAAACATGATGGATGCATCAAAGCTCCACACAGACAACATGATCATATTTTAAATCTGATTTAAACGTGAGTGTACGTACCCTCTCCTCCCAGTACCTACCCTCTCCTCCCAGTACCTACCCTCTCCTTCCAGTACCTATCCACTCCTCCCAGTACAGACCTACTCCTCCCAGTACCTACCCTCTCCTCCCAGTACCTACCCACTCCTCCCAGTACATACCCACTCCTCCCAGTACATACCCACTCCTCCCAGTACATACCCACTCCTCCCAGTACGTACCTTCTCCTCCCAGTACATACCTAATCCTCCCAGTACATACCCACTCCTCCCAGTACATACCCTCTCCTCCCAGTACATACCCACTCCTCCCAGTAATACCCACTCCTCCAGTACGTACCTTCTCCTCCCAGTACATACCTAATCCTCCAGTACATACCCACTCCTCCAGTACATACCTCCTCCCAGTACATACTTCTCCTCCCAGTACATACCTAATCCTCCCAGTACATACCCACTCCTCCCAGTACTACCCTCTCCTCCCAGTACATACCTTCTCCTCCCAGTACATACCCACTCCTCCCAGTACGTACCTTCTCCTCCCAGTACATACCTAGTCCTCCCAGTACATACCCACTCCTCCCAGTACATACCCACTCCTCCCAGTACGTACCTTCTCCTCCCAGTACATACCTAGTCCTCCCAGTACATACCTAATCCTCCCAGTACATACCCACTCCTCCCAGTACATACCTACTCCTCCCAGTACATACCCACTCCTCCCAGTACATACCTTCTCCTCCCAGTACATACCTAGTCCTCCCAGTACATACCCACTCCTCCCAGTACATACCCACTCCTCCATCATACCTTCTCTCCCAGTACACCTAGTCCTCCAGTACTACCCACTCCTCAGTACCACTCCTCCAGTACATACTAATCCTCCCAGTACATACCCACTCCTCCAGTACATACCTTCTCCTCCCAGTACATACCCACTCCTCCCAAGTACGTACCTTCTCCTCCCAGTACATACCACTCCTCCCAGTACGTCCTTCTCTCCCAGTACATACTAGTCTCCCAGTACATACCCACTCCTCCCAGTACATACCTTCTCCTCCCAGTACATACCTAATCCTCCCAGTACATACCCACTCCTCCCAGTACATACCTTCTCCTCCCAGTACATACCCACTCCTCCCAGTACATACCACTCCTCCCAGTACATACCTAGTCCTCCCAGTACATACCCACTCCTCCCAGTACATACCTCCTCCCAGTACATATCTAGTCCTCCCAGTACATACCCAGTCCTCCCAGTACATACCCACTCCTCCCAGTACATATCTAGTCCTCCCAGTACATACCCACTCCTCCAGTACGTACCTTCTCCTCCCAGTAAGTACCCAACCTACCAGCATGTACCCCTCCATCATACATACCCACTCTCCCAGTACATACCTTCTCCTCCCAGTACATACCCACTCCTCCCAGTACGTACCTTCTCCTCCCAGTACATATCTAGTCCTCCCAGTACATACCCACTCCTCCCAGTACATACCTTCTCCTCCCAGTACATATCTAGTCCTCCCAGTACATACCCACTCCTCCCAGTACATACCTTCTCCTCCCAGTACATATCTAGTCCTCCCAGTACATACCCACTCCTCCCAGTACGTACCTTCTCCTCCCAGTAAGTACCCAAACCTACCAGCATGTACCCACTCCTATCATTACATACCCACTCCTCCCAGTACATACCCACTCGTCCCAGCGTGCAGCTCTGTGTCTGGCCTCCTCTTCCTCATTCCTCTCCTCCTTAGCTCTCTCCTGCTCCTCCCTCCTCATCCTCTCCTCCACCTTCCTCCTCTCCTCCTTCTTCACCTCCTCGATGCTGCGGCCGTAGTTCCTGGGAGGACCCAACGTGTCGAAAATCTTCTGAATCAGCTGCAGACAGTTGGGTTCACTGCTGCTGGTGACCTCTGGAGAGGAGGAGGAAGAGGAGGAGGAGGAGGAGGAGGAGGAGGAGGAGGAATGTTTAATGATGTGAAAATGACCCCAACAAATTTTTTTTTTTTTTCCCTACAGCATCAAAAAAATCATGAGGGGTGTCGCTTTACCGAGGTAGAGGAGGGAGACGTCCAGCTCATCAAAGAAGTTGACGACTGTCTCTTCCTCCATGTTTGCCTCTCTGTATCTGATCAGTTTCTGCAGGAAGTGATCCTGCTCGTAGTTTTGTTCCTGAACGACCCGCTCGGGCAGATTCATCACACGATCCCGCAGGAACGAGTCCGAGGCGTCTAGGACCAACACAAACTCTGCAGCACACACAACGAGATATTACAGACACAATATCATCTATGTATCAATGTCTCTGTGGATGTTTCTGTTCATCTTTCATCAGGGTGAACAGAGACCTGGTGTAATCCTCCTGTTGTGTCCAGAAGTCATGGATGTGTCACCTTCAGACTCTTCTTCATCTGAAAAAGAAAGAAAATGTTCACATGTATGTTTATGTATTCATGTCTTTATTTAGATCCTCATAATCTATTACCCCGGCAGCAAACACTGTCCCTGGGGTCAAAGGTGAGAATCTCAAGAAATTAAAATTAAAAAAGGATTGTTTCTGAGATAAAATAATTTCACTGTATTTTAGAATATTTTGGTTTATTGCAGTGCAAACATGAAATTTAAATCTTAAATAAGTTTAAGATTTAAATAAGTGACATTATTAAACATCCAGACGGAAAAAAATAATAGCTTCACATCAATAATTTATTACATTGGTAAGTGTGAGTGAGTGTGAGTGAGTGTGTGTGTGTGTGTGTGTGTGTGTGTGTGTGTGTGTGTGTGTCTCACCGGAGAAGAGCTCTTTGGCTTGTTCGTATGTTTTTGGAAACCCGTCCAGGATGAAGCCCTGGTTTTTACACGGGTTTGACATCAGTTTATGTTTCAGCACCTTCACCAGCAGATGATCCTCCAACAGACCTGACAGACACAGAAATAAATGAACCTTAAAGGAACATTATGAAGATGAAATGTTGCACTTTTATAAAGTGAGAAGCTTTGGGAAGGACGGCTGAATAAGAGTCACAGATATCCCGAGCTGTGCTTCGATAAACACTTCATTCTACATTTCAAACTATACAGCTTTTAATGAAATGTGTAAGACTTGCAAGATTAGTAAGTATGGTGTGCTTTAAAGGGTTTGTTCAGGAGGTAACAGGACGGTCATCTTTGGTTTTCACTGTGTTTACCTCCGTTCTGCTCCATGCTCTCCTTCAGACTGAACAGCAGATCTGCTGCCAATTCATCGTTCTCTGCTTCTGGATCAGAGTTGTTTCCAACAAACTCCTGACAAGTAGGTTAAAATTGAAAAGTCGGGTGTTAAACAATAGAAATGTGTATGTGTAATGTATGTATATAAGTATGTATATGTGTGTTTGTGAGATCACCAGTTGTGCGATGGTTTCAGTGATGGTCTCCTTCAGAGTGATGTGATGGAGTCTGTAATGTTCACAGATCTGTTTACACACTGAGCTCTTCCCCACAGCAGGAGGACCCACAACACACACACGCAGGGGCTGAGAGAGAGAACACACACAAATGCACACACGCAGACACACAAGGGTTAATTTGTACAACCCAGAATATCATCTAAAGACGGTTTTACACATGCACTCCTGAAAATGTCTACAAAATTTACAGCAGGAAAGCTATATCAGTGGTATGTGTAGTTGGAGATATTCAGCGCATCAACAAAAGAGCAGAGAAGAAAAGAACAGAAAAGGATGTTAACCTCATCACCTCCTCCTGCTTGTGGTGCAGTGAGTTTTACTGAATATTTCCTGCGGCTGTCTCTCATGAGCCTGCCCCTGAACTCTACTAGGAGGCTGACAGGAGGAATTAAAGTTAAAGTGAAAAGTTCGACTGTTTGCGCTCACACATACAGCGCTTTTGCTCGAGCGTTACATGGGAACACACCAACTAAATATCTGTGAGAGGTTTATATTGTCAGTTATTTCCTGGTTCTGACTGTTCATAAAACACATCTGGCTTCAGCTTTGTTTCCTACCAGCATTCCTCTGGTCTGCCTGAACTCCTCCACCACCTGCTCCATGTTCTCCACCAGTCCAGACTCACAGCTCCACTCCATAGAGAACAGCTCCTTAATGTGGACTGCCTCCAAACGAAGGTTCACCTGCAGGGAGTCCATCTCCATCACCTGAGACACGAAAATCATATTTAATAAGATTCAGTATTTCTTCTGAATCCAGAAACAGCTGTGACATGGTTTTCTTCAAGCACACCAGACTTCAGTGATAAAAACCGTGATTTGACCTCAAAGAACACAGGAGGTCCACTGCTGCCTCGATCAGTCAGTTCAGTTATTGTTGCGTTACTTTACGGCTTAAAAAAAAAGATCTATTTTGGGGCTTTTCTATTCCTTTAATGAAGACACAGGACAGTGGACAGAGTCAGAAATCAGGATGAGACAGAGGGAGAGAGAGTAGGGAATAACATGCAGGAAAGGAGCCACAGGTTGGACTTGAGGACCAGGAATCAGTGGTTGGAGCTCATGCACTAACCACTAGGATACAATCACACACGATCGTTGTATAGAAAAGAGGAACAAAACATCAGACCTGCTACTTCTAATTTACTACAAATACATAAATACCTTTTTTGAATGATTCTCCTTTTGGGCCCACTGCCCAACAGACCTGTAGTATTGCTTAATATGTAAATTATGTAACCTGAAACTTGTTTTTTTTTTTTAATCTTCTTCTAATCTTTTTTCTTTCCCCTAGTTTGTTTTATATTTATACAGGCATTTCCTTCTTCTTATTTCAGTTGCTTGTGTCAGGTTTGACTGTTGCACTTTTTAAATGATTTCTTTCTTTCTTTTTAATTTGGAGGACATTGAGTCGACCCGTAATGTATGAATTATATGGATTTATTCTGCTCTGATTTGAGACAAGCCAGGTTAGCTGCTGCAAGTCTTAATGCTAAGCTAAGCTAACCTGAAACAATCCTGACTGTTTGTAACAACATCTATCTTTTCAACATGCTTTCAACCGAAGAGCAATGTCATTTCTTTCCTACATGTTGAAAAAAGTTTGCTGTGAGATAAAACACATTTAGCAGAACGTACACTCAGGTCCTTTGTAAGGAAAGCTTCTATGAACATCTTCTTCTCGATCTTTCCCGGTCCCAGAGCAGTGGAAACTGTCTGAAGGAGGACACAGATACATTTTATGAAATCATCATCGGAATGAATGAAAATGACATCGAGCACCTGAACAGATAGAAGTCAGACTAGTGATCAGATCTACATTAACAGATATATTTATAGATATTCTAAGTGTTTGTTGTAAGAGAAGAGGATCAGTCTAAAGATGTCTCTGTATGCATTGGACAGGTTTCAACATGTCCAGTCTGTTTATGTAGACTTTCGGAGTTTAATATTTCCCTCTGGTTTCTCCCTCAGTTGAGACCCTCACCTTGACTATCTCCTCCATGGTGTTGTGCGACTGATCCACAGCCAGCAGGTAATACGGTTTGGGCTGATGTTCGATCACATTATGAACCACACTACAAGATAAAAGTGTTTAAAATTGTAAAAAAATATGTAAATATTTACTCAATCGTAACAAGTCAAATCAATGAAGATCATTTTTCAAACAGCATTTGTTTAAATCAAATCATGAATGTGAGATTATAGATTTACCAGCATTTATGATTGAGTACTGTCTAATAATAATAATAAGTAGAATTGATCATCTGTGTGTGTTTGTCTCTAACCTTGCCAGGTCTTTAATGTGAACCGTGGGAACAATGTTTTTGCCGTCTCCAAACACAGGAACTCTTTGTTCCTGCCCGAGCCAGGACATCTGAGAATAAAGGTTTTTATCAAAATTCACACTTTTTGTAATTATTGTGACGTTTTCCTATCCAACATTCTGACCAGAGTAAGACATCGTAAAGGTATACTCTGTGACATTCTGTATACTAATTTAGCATAAATCATAAATATGTTGTGAAGTCATGACTTCCTAAACTCCCTCTGGATTTCTTGTTCTCAGCTGTGTGCTCACACTAACGGGACGTTTCCTTCAGCTTGTTTATGTGTTGCTCAGGTGCTCAAACAGGATTCATATGTTGTTGTACTTTATGTTAACCCCTCCCTCTCCCTTAGTCCTGTCACCATGTGGTGGGAAAGAGACGGCTCCCACCCACTCAGGGACGCTGTATGACAACGGCACAACGACCCTCAGCAGTCTTTGAATCTGACCTTGAAGAAGAAGTGAAAGATCTGCTCCCCCATCCCGTACTGAAGTCCAGACGCCACCACGTACGTCGAGAACAACTTCCTGTTCTGAAAACAACCATCGTGTGACACAGTGGTTAATGCTCTAATAACAATCCTCTATTAAGATTTTATAAATTGGGCGGTTTTGATACTGACAGTTTTCCCCATCTTGACAACCCTCTTCTCCAGGTCGATGTGATGTTTAAAGTTCGGGTGAGCTCGTCTTCTCCAGAAAATCTCATCTGTGAACGGAAGCTCCGGATCGTCCTGAAACAAAACAAAGACGACGAAAACACAACAGAAGATTTTCACTTTAACACAAATCTGATCTGGACAGAGGTGGTGAATGAACCGTCAAAACTAAAAGTCATTTAATGGAAAAACTATATAAAACAAAATCGTACGTTGTTGGGTTAATGGCAGGTTGAAGGTACAAAAAGAATTGATGTTTGTGAAAGTGAATAAATGTTTCTCTTCACTTAAACTAAAGAAGAATATTTATTAAATACATTTATTTAATAATTTTGATCAATGATTGATGTACAGCTTGTCAGCGTAACTGTATGCGCTTTCTTACAGGGTCGATGGGTTTGCTGCAGGCCCAGGTCATCACCGTGGAGACGAGGATGAACATCTTTGGTCCAGAGAAATGGTTCATTTTATCATGAAGAGCTACAAATACAAAGAACACGATTCATTACCTGACTGATTAATTACATTTTTATCAAATCTTATTATTGTCTACAGGTACAAATTAGTCACTGGTCATGTGATGGCTAAAAGATGAACATTGATCACTTCCAGACATGCACAATCTGAACTTAACTTTGTCTTTGAGTTATTTTTTAACTACTTGATGAATCCATTAAACTACAATCAGGAACAAACCTTCTTACCTGAAACAGCCCAGAGAGCCTCCTCCAGCTGCTCGGCATGCTGGGTAATGTTGTAGATTACTACGTCACAGTCCATCAGTTTGGAGAGCAGGATGTCTCTGTTCATGTTCTTTATCTTTTTAAAAGGAAGTTAAAATATCCTAGTTTTATTTAGTTTTATTAAATGTTACTGTTTGTTTTCTCACATTATTTTATGAGTGAAGTACTTACTGAATACTCTTCGTGCAGGTAAGGTCTGTCCTCCTCAGGTGAGTCAGAAACAGTTCCAACAACACAGAAAGCTGCTCCCACCAAACACTCCGACAAGAACTACAACAACAAAAAGATGAAAAACGACACGTTAGCTGCGGCATCTTTAAGCTAATAACCAACCTGTTCACTAGCATTAGCTCGAGCTAGCAGCTCTGACAGGTTTATAATATATTTACCTTGGCGATCCATTCAGAAGTGTATGAGTCTACGTTGTTGATAAAAACTCTTTTAGGGGACCGTTTGAGTCTCTCCATCCCCTGCTCCGCCATGTTGGCTAGTGTTGTTGTCGGTGTCTTGTAGCCATGGAGACGACCGCAGAGGTCGCAATAGAACCGTCGTTGCCATGGAGACGGGTTGTCAAGCTTTTCAGCGATTTCTCATTTAAGAAAAGTAGTTATTTTCTATCTGTTGATAAAACATATATAAAAAGTAAATATTTGACCCTGCCTAGCAATAATTTAATTTACAATTAATTTATTTTAATCTGCAAAAATAATGAAAAAAAAACGGCACTAAGGAGTAAAAACACAATATCCCCTTGTCTGTTTCTTTTTATCCTGAGCCTGTGCTTGTCTGGGCCCAGTTATCACACTTTAAATGTAATCTTTGACTGATTGTGTCCCCAGTTAGAAAACATCCTTTTAAAATGTATCTGAAGAAACTCTTAAGACAGATAAACCTGTTCCCCATGCACAAGTTTTGAGAGTATTAACGCTGAGCCACCCTCTGGGGGAAACTAATTTTGGCTACTTGTAAACTGTATCAAGAATCTGATGGCTTGTAGCAACAGCCCCGGGACCTCATATTCCCGCAATACCACCCAAATGACCTCCTAGAGGCACAGTCATTGGCCTTCTCCAAGTCCACAGAACACATGTAGACTCAATGAGCACACTCCCATGCTCCACCCAGGAGCCCTGCGAGGGTGAAGAGTCAGTCCACTGTCCCACGGCCGGATGGAGTCCGCATTGTTCCTCTTCTATCTGAGGTTCGACAATCAGTCGGAGCGTCTTTTCCAGCTTTCACATAATAACCTCAATTTAAAAATAGCTTTAACCCTTACTAAACACACACACTTTTAAATACTTAAAAAACAACTAAACTCAAAACAAAAGTATAAAACCATCCTTTTATTACAAATACAATAATTTACAAAATGATCAGGTAAGAATTTAAAGGCAGGAGTGCGTATTGATACATTATTTCCCCTTTCGCATCCTAATTAAAGCATGAATGAAGTCATAAATTAGAGTCATCACAGCATTCACAGCACAGTGTACATTTCATCAGTCAGTGATTATTCCGCCACCACGTTAAAGTTATCAAACTGAGCCAGCTCAAACGAGCGGGTTCCTACAGCGGCCCAGCCGTTCTGAGGCATCAGGACCACGGCGTTCTTCCATAGAGGATATCCATTCAGAAGACCAGACGCAAACTGACCCTGCAAGAGACACACACACACACAGGTTATACAGTATATATACACCTCATTAGATACATGTGTCAATCACAGACTGCAAGTACATCACGGAGGTTTGGATCTCTTCTACATTAACAACCAGACTCTGCAGGTCCGTTTAAATTCTATTGAGGTTAACCAACATTGTTTATATTGTCAGGATCCAATGTCTGTGTACTTTATCATCAGTCGGGACGCTTTGACTTTTTTAATTTAAGACAGTTGCTCAGACTTTTTATGTTAACACGACTGAACGATCTGCTCCTGCTGATTTCTTTTACAAAACCCACAGAAGAATGAGAGAATGTCGATGTTTCCAAAAGTGTGTACTCACCTCCACAGTGAGTGTCAATGTGTGCCAACCGAACGCAAGAGTACCAGACTGTCCCTCTGCAAGAACGGTCTGTCCAGCTGTGGACAAACAACACCAGATTAAAAACACAAAAAATGACAGCAGATTAATCTTTTAGATTGACATTGACTGACGAAACAGGAAGGGAGGGGCGGGGAAAGTGTGGAGACAGGAGGGGAGGGGGGAGCTGAGGGATGAAGGAGGTGTGTCTGAAGGCAGCGTATATTTGGGACTGACAATCTGCTCTGAAAGTTGCATAGTAAGGTTTTGAATATCGACTTAAAACTTGAGCAAACATATCTCTCTCTTTCTCTTCTCCATAATAAGCAGTTGTTTTTTCTCACTGACCGAGGTCGTTGGTGATTTGTACGTGCCGTCTGCAAACACCCAGAAGAAAACTCCTTTAGCGCTGCGGATCGACTGTCCTCCTTTGTCGACTCGAGCTGCTACAAACTCCTCCAGTCTTCACCGTCTCCATGAAGACGTCGCAGGACACGTCAGGTTCTGCCTGGAACACAGAAACATTGAACAAAGTTATATTATTTCATTTATAAACGTGCACAGTATTAAACACGCTCTGCTCTGCTCACCACTGGTAGTCTCCGATGACACTGACGGTCTGGTCAGCATCTGTTGCCCAGGTAACGGGTCTCTGGGTCAGAACCTGCCGTAAGGTGAAGACGTGAGGTCCAGGATCGGTCAGGTTCATGAAGTACTCGAACACACCGGTCTGATCTGCAAAGTCTGGAGCCTCTGAGAACTCAGGGTTTCCTGCAGAGAGGTGGAGGGGCACCGTGAGGGTTACTTCATTCAGTGTTAATAATTAATAAACAGTAATTAGGTTAACTTAATAACCTGTTAGCTATAGACTGACTATGTTCATGTAGAATAAGGCACATATAAGAGCTTAATAATGACTAATGAGCAGTAGTATGCTACTAATTAGCATGCTATTCAGCTAATAGTTCATTGTGAATACTGAGATCTTAATTTAAAGTCAATTAAAGTTTGTTATAAAAAAAAAAAAAAAAGTATTTTTTTTTTGTTCCCGTTCATGCGGCTGGAGGTTTTGAGGTGTATCCGTTGTACTTACGAACATTGAAGTCGTCCTTGTAGATTTTAGGGAAGCGAGCCGATGGAGGGGGGGCGGGGAAAACGCCTTTCTGTC